TCAATGAGTTTGTGTCATGAAAGAGAGAGGTATATCTTTGATTCCTTTATCTATGGGGTGAAACTTTGATGAGAGTAATTTAAGTTCCTAGTCATTGTACTCAGCAAAACAATCTGTTTAGGAGCCAAAGACAAGAAAAAAAGTGTTGAAACATTCCAAAAAGAAAAAGAGCCAAATTCTGTATAATCCATGTATTAAAATCAATATCTGTATTAAACTCAATACATGGATTGTAAAAAAATTAGTTCACATTTTGCTCAGATGCAAACCAATATACTGGTTTCTTAATGTTAGATAAACTGTTCAGCTTCCTCTAAACAGGGGCTGGTAAATTGATGAAGTTTCAAATTCCTTCTTGATTCTTAACCCAAAAAGCAGTCCAGGATAACTAGGGCTCTTAGATTCTGTGACATGCTTGCTCTCCATTTAGTCCATTTCTCCAACCAATTTCTCTAAATAAGCAAGCATTAAATCATATAAAAATCTCTGAAGAATGCCTTGCATTCAAAAGCTTGTCCCAACTATGCAGTTGGTCCAATAAGAGATATCAGCCCAAGAAATCCTTGTGTCTCATACAAAAATCCCCATCATTCAGATGGCAGAATTCTTATCTACTTCCAAAGGTTGCCTAAACAGCAGAAGATTCATGCAAACCAAAGCACAGCTGATAGACCATAACTATAACCCTTAGCTTCAATTGTCTTGAGAACAAGATCTGCTCTACCTTTGGCAACAATTGTCCTGAGGCATCCTGCATATATTTCTATACCCTCCAAAGAATTTAATTTGCTCTACTTCATTCCCATGGGGTTCTGTGCAGCATGGTGGAGAGATGCAGGGGAACCAGCTTTCACACAAAGCTGTGAGAAGCACTTGTACATCCATATAAAGGCAGAGGGGAAGCCAAGAGGAGCCATAGCTTGTGTTTATAAATTGGTTAATAGCTTTTTTATTTTTAAATCAATGCTCAGCGTCAATAGTTATCAGACTTTCTGGTGTGGGTGCTTGCCTAAATGGAATGAGTTTAACGGTTTCTGTATTCAGAGCCAATACAGAATAAGCTAATGATGAACTTGAAGATGAGCTTTATACAAAGAACAGTCTGTCCTGGTTGTAAATTGATTTGTTCCTTATTGTTACTGCACAAAAAACCCACCTCCGCAATTATTTTATTAACTTGAAAAAGAAATATTATCCCAGTGAAAGTACACAAGAAAGGCAATTGTTCAATGGGTTCTAAGTGCTGTGCTTTTAGAAAAGGAACATGCTGTTAAGTTTCAGTTTGTTCAGAATGGAAATGAGAAGTCTACTGACTTGTTCATTTATGTCAAAGCACATTATTTTGAGGGGTCTCTAAGCCGACTGCTTAAAATTTGTCCTATTTCCCAATTAACCCAATAAGCAAGCATGCCAAAATCAAGAAAAGTCCAGATTTCTCTGTGTCCTCATCTTCCCTTTGGCCTAGTGAGATCCAGCATTGCTGCTATCAGTGTGAAACACATTAATATTTTTCTGTCATCCCATCCCACTTTCTCAACTTCACATATCCTTAAACAAAATATCTCAAAGGAAGTAGTGACAGAACAGTCAAGAGATTAGAACTGCTGGAATTTCCCCTAATAACAAAAAATACACAAAGCAGCACAATGAGGGACGTTCACCCATGATGTGTACAATTTATTGGAGTTCAAATGATTCCATGAACTAAGCTGAATTTTGACCTTCCCCCGCTTTAAATTTAGGTTCACTTTAAAATTAGACTTACATAAGTTTCAGCGACATGCCTAGCAAAAAGAAAGTTAGGACCCCATCTACTGGGCAATATGGGACACTATCAATTTCATCAGAGAATGACTACAGTTGTAACAAAATCCCAAGACCTGTTGATTTTGTAGTGCAGATAAAACCTGTTTTATTAAGCATGGGCCTGAACCTTGTTAAAAGAGCATGAGGAGCAACCACAGCAGAAACAGATCCTCTGACAATTCAAGGTCACTTTCATAGCAGTAATATTCTTGGAGCAATAGTTCAAGCCTCATGAAAGAAAGTCCCTGTCTTCAATATGTGGACTAGCCTAATTTTTTAGACTACATTGTAATGGTGCTCCTCTTAGAACTACGTGAATATATAAAACAATGTTAGAAAAAATACTTCTTTGCGCTTACTGGTCTGAGTCGTGCAGCCATTTCTGTGAAGATTCAGTGTAAATCAAATTCCTTGAAAAAATAAAAAGAATCAAGTTGTTGTTCATGACTTTTAACATATCGCTCCTAAACTCACTAGTTAAGATGAGTACAACAGAAATCAGTAGGGGTGCACAGATAGAGATTTTTGGGGCTGATATCAATGGCCCATTTTTATAAGGAAGGGAGCTGGGCAGGGGTGGGGAAGGAGCAGGAACTGCACAGCCAGGGTGAGATGGGGTGTGGAGCACAGCTACGGCTCATCCAGGGGGAAGCTCCTGCTGCTACACACACCCTGGGAGGGCATGGGGGGGGTGCCCCCCAGATCTGTGCCCGGTGCCTGCTGCTACATCCTGGTGCTGGGGGTGGTGTTGGGCTCTTCCTGGCAGGGGGATTGGGCTGGGGCTGTGCTCAAGGTGGCGGTGGCACTGCTATATGGGCCACAACGAATTCTGGGGTGGCTGCAGCTCCTCCCCGATAGCCCCACCTCCCAGCACTACTGCTGGCCACCCCAAGCACAGCCCCAGCCCAGCCCCTTGCTGGGAAGAGCCCACTAGCAGCCCCAGCCCACAGCAGCAGCCTACCCTCCCCTGGCATGCAGATCTGGGGGGCACACTCCTCATTACATGTAATGTAATGTTTGCTGTGTAAGCATGTCCAGAACACTTCCTGCTCCAATGAGGATCAACAGACTGGGATCTGTAGGCATAATAGCAATGGAGGGAAGTAGCAGATAAGGTGGTAGCTGTAGGGGTTTTAATTAGGGAGATTTCTCCCATGGGTAAGGGTAGTACTGCCAACCCTAAACATTCAAAACAGGGAGTGCAGCCTGTAAATCATGAGGGTTTTTTTTTTAAAAACAACATAATAAATGTTGCTTTACTTTTATTGAACTGTAGATTTTGGAATAGGATGCATGTCCCTCCACCTTTTCAAGGTTTTCTCCCCGACCTGAGGTTTAAAAACTTTCTGGAAAAAAAAAGATTTGTATACAATACCATGGCACTAGCACAGTGATTCTCAACCAGGGTGATGCAAGATCTTTTCTAGGGTGCCTCAAGGTGTGAGGAGACAAGCACAAGCTCAGACTGGTCCTTGCCTGGCAGCTGCCCTGTCCCTCTGCAGGGCAGGGAGCACTGTAATATACCAATCAGCCATGGAAATGAGGCGCTGCTGGATGCACAGGAGTTAGGAGGAGGGGCCCGAGGCAAACACGGTGGGAGTACAGCTCAAGCTACCACTGCTACACTCAGCGGTGCTCAACCTTTTTCCCTGGTGGGCTGGATGGGCAGCGAGTGGTCTGACCCACAGCCCGAGCTGGGGCCTGGGCATCCGGCAGCGGGGAAGGGTGGCCCTGTCACCTGCTACTGCGTCCTCGCCACCACGTTTCCCGACCGTGGGGAGCCCTGCGGGCCAGATGTCATGGCTGGGCGGGTGGGCACGGCCTCAGGCTGAGCTCCCTGCCCCGGCTGACAGACACAGCCGAGCTCCCGCTTTGCACCTGAAGGAACAGGGGGCGGGATGGGAAGACCGTAGCGCCGACATGGGGGAGAGACTGGGGCCCATGGGGCAAATCCCGGGGCCTCGTCCCGGCGCAGGGGCGCCTTGCAGCCGGGACGGGCCCGCGGCGCTGCTGCCCCCGCTCCCCCAGGGCCTCGCCCCAGCCCCGAGCTGCGCCCGCATCCCTACCTGACGCCCGACCCGCCGCCGCCGGACCCGGCCGGGATGACACCAGCCCCGCTCCCTCCCTGAGGCCCTGTCTCCC